CGGTCACGGGTCCATGCCATCGCAACCTGGAGGGCCGCGGCCTGGGAGTCCAGCTGCTCCCTGTCCCAAAGCCACTTCTTCCCATCTGAGGCACTCCTTTCCTCACCTGTGGGGTGGGGCCCGTATTCCGCCCGCCCTGCGCGCCTCTCTGGGTGGGGTGTGCGTTCCCCTTGCTTGTTTATCCAGCAAATATTTACCAAGTCCCTCTCGTGTGCCTGGCCCCATGCTTGGCGCTGGACAGAGTCCACACCCACTTTGAGAGTTCCAGTCTAGCCGGGGAGACAGGTAATAAATAAACAAAGCAATTAGAGACCGGCCACATCCCATAATGGAAACACGCAGCCATGCGGCGGAGGGTGGCCATTAGGAGGGCCCGGCCAAGGGAGGTGACGTTCTAGCAGCCACCAGCGACGGGAAGGTCTGGGGAAGGGCACCCCAGGCACAGGCAGTAGCAGGGGCGAAGGTCGGGTGGCAGGAACGGGTGTGGCTGGAACCTCTGCGGCCTGGCTCTGCGGCCGGCCCGGGCAGGGCTGTGACGGGGCTGAGCTGGTCCTGTCTGTCCGGGGTGTTCTCTCCGCTGCTTTGTGCGTGGGGACTGCCAGTGGCGGCTGGGGAGGCTCCGCGTCCTCCTCGCTGGTGGCTAGAATGAGGCGGTGGCCCAAGAAGGGCCATCGCCGGGCTGGGAGTTGTATCGACGGGTCACCTGCTGTCACAGCAGGTGACAGTCTCTGGGTGGCTTTGCCAGGGCCTTGCTGTGTGTCCCCGGGCAGGTCCTCTTGCAGAACGAGCAGATTTAGACTGCGAGTCCACCATCATCCCCGGCTGCAAGGCCTAACCCGACCTCTGCCCTTTCTCCGGTCATCTGGGAGGCGGGCCCCGGCGGCTCCCACCCGTGTCCGGACTCCCGCTGTGGCTGCGGGAAGGAAAACCCACGGCTGCTCCACAGTCGAGGGCGACCCAGGCGTGGGCCCCTGGCGCTGTCTGAGGGCGGCCGCAGGGGCCCTCACACGGGTGTGTCCCAAGGAGAAAGCCGGGGCCTGCCCCCGCCCGCCGCCCTCCTGCTGCTGCGGGAGCAGCCGCCCCTTCCGCACGCTGCGCTGCGGCCTGTCCCTCCTCCTCCTCTGGCCTTTCCAGGAAGCCATGCAGGGAGTGGACTTGGGCCTGGCTTCCTGCTGGCGCCGACCTCCCTGGGGCAGCCCTGCTCAGGAAGAGCCTGTGGCATGTGGGGTCCCTTCCTGCCATGGGGGAGGCAGCCCCTGGTGGTCCAGGGCCACTTCCCGCCTCCTAGGGAGAGGCCTTCCAGTTCACACGCCCTGCAGAGGCAGCCGCCCGGGGACGGGGACGGGGGTGACGGGGGCAGCACTCCCCTGCAAAGGCTTCTGGGGCTGCCTGGAATTCCAAAGTGGCCAGGACAGGGCGGGGCAGAGCCTCCTGGGCCAGGCACTTCCGCATCCTTGGGGCCCCTGGATGCCGGACCTTCCTCGCGGTAAGAGTAGAACGGGTGGGAAGGCGGGCCCTGGACCCAGGCCCTGCCACCTGAGTCACTCTTCTTTCTGCACCCCCAGAGGGTGCTCCTGCACCCCCAAGACCATGCGACGGCCCCAGCCCCACCCAGGGGCCGGAGCTCCCCGGCGCTGGTCAGACAAGTCACGTGGCTCTGTTTGCCTTCCAGCTTCCCTTGTCCCTGCTGAAGACAGCTCAGAACCACCCCATGGTGAGTACGCACCAGTCCCGGATGGCTCGTGTCTCGGAGCGGGCCGCCTCAGCACGGGGCCAGGACAGCCTGGGCGGAGGGCCTCCTGCCCGCCTCCTGCCCGCCCACCAAACGCAGCAGCCCGTTCTCCTCTGTCAGCACGTCCTGTGTCGTTTCTGCCGCTTGTAAAAGCGATGCCTGCTCATTAAAAGTCGCAGACCCTAGACGAGGTGGAGAGTGCAGACCCCTGCGTTCAGCTTCGCTGCAGCCCTGTTCCTTGGTGTGCGCACGGCCGGGCCTTCAGCTTTCAGCTCGCCTGCGGGTGCGGCGGCGTCTCTCTCAACCCTGAGGGGTCTGCGTCGTTCGCAACCACTGTACCACTGGATCAACTTCAATCCTTTTTTTTTTTTCTTTCTTCCTTTGAGACAGAGTCTCGCTCAGTTGCCTGGGCCAGAGTGCCATGGCGTCAGCCTGGCTCACAGCAACCTCAGAGTCCTGGGCTCAAGCGATCCTCCTGCCTCAGCCTCCCGAGTAGCTGGGACTACAGGCATGCGCCACCGTGCCCGGCTCATTTTTTCTATATGTATTAGTTGGCCAATTAATTTCTTTCTATTGTTACTAGAGACTGGGTCTCGCTCTTGCTCAGGCTGGTCTCGAACTCCTGGGCTCAAGCGATCCTCCCTCCTCGGCCTCCCGGAGTTGCTGGGACTAGAAGTGGGCCACGACGCCCGGCCACCACTTTTTATCCTTGACGATACGGTGTGGTCTCTGTGCACATCCGTCAGTGCAATCTGTTTCTTTGTTCTTTTAAACTTCTCCCTTTCTGGCTAAAACTAATACACGTACCCTAGAACTGAGCCATTTCAAACTCAGCGGCATTTAGTGCGGTCACAGTGTCCTGCCACCACCACCTCTGTCTAGTCCCACAACACTTCGGTCACCCCAGAAAGGAGACCCCGCCGGCAGTCACTCCCTAGTCCCCGCCCCAGCCGCCACAGATCTGCCTCGCGTCCCTTCGGGATTTCCTGCTCTAGACGCTGCGCAAGAGCGTGGCCTCCAACGTCACGGGCCGCGTGCGCCCCCCTCGCCTGGCGTGCTCTGAGCTCTGGCCGCGTTAAAGCCTGTGTGGGCGCTTCACTGGTGGCCGACTGTCGCCCCGTGCCGCCGCGGGTCGATGCCACGCTGTGTTCGTCCACTCGCCCGCTGATGGGCATTTGGGCTGTTTCACCTTTTCGGCTGTCACACATAGTGCCGCCGCCAACACTTGTGCCTCGTGCGTGCGTTTTTGCGTGCACGTGCGTCTTCACTCCTCTCCGGGCGATGCCTGCGTTGGTTCTTTTTAAGATCTCGGCCTTGGCCAAGTGCAGTGGTTCGTGCCCATAACCCCAGCACCTTAGGGGGCTGAGGCGGGAGGATCGCCTGAGCCCAGGAGTCTGAGGTCACAGCCGTGAGCTGTGATCACGCCACTGCACCGTAGCCTGGGGGACAAACAGAGACCCCGTCTCAAAAATAAATACATAAAACCTTAACCTTTTCCTAACAACGGCATGTCTACAGAACGGTGCACTGCTGTGTTTCCCCCAAAATAAGCCCTACCCATACGATAATCCCCGGCAGGATGTCTGAGCTTGTGCGCCATGGCAGCCCCACCCTGAAAGTCAGCCCTAGTGACGGGCGTGGCCGCGCAGCGCGTCTGCACGACCCATGCGTGTCGTCGCGTAGCGGGAAAGAACACGAGCAGCCCTTCTCATCCGCCCCGTCGTGACAGCTGCTGTCCCAGAGGTGACCGGAAAGGTGCGGGCAGCCCCGCCACCAAGGCCGGCTTCCCCCGTGGGGTCCCGGCCGTCCCGTGCGTGCTGCGAGCTGAGGCTTCGAGGGGAAAGTGATGCATCCCCTGAAAACAAGCCCTGGGGTGTCTTCTTGAGGAAAAATGCATATAAGACGCTGCCTTGTTTTCGGGGAAACACGGTAGCTACCTCTTTCCTCGGAACACGTCCCGATAGGCGAGCGACCGTCGCCGCGAGAAACAGCGCTCCAGACCTCAGAGGCCCAGCGGCTGGCGTCGAAGGGGCACCTGCCGGAGCAGACCAGGCGTGCCCTCCCGGCCCCAGCCGCCCGCCCTGGGCGGCCACCAGCACCCTGGTGTCGGTCATGCCTGTGTGTGTGTCATGCTTTCGTTTAACTGCGCAAGGAGTGGCACCACCGTAGGAAGCCTGGCGACGCAGAGGGTACGGAGGGGCCGTTTCCCGGGCCTTGGTGCCACAGGCGGAGACGGTGGCCCGTCTCCCGGGGCCAGGGCCCGCCCTGAGGCCACAGCCGACCTCTGTTCTGTTTCTTTCCCCAGCTGGTGGAGCTCAAAAATGGGGAGACGTACAATGGGCACCTGGTGAGCTGCGACAACTGGATGAACATTAACCTGCGGGAGGTGATCTGCACGTCCCGGGTGTGTGGCCCGTACCTCCCCCCGGGGTGGGGCCGCAGCGGGAGGGGGCTCTGGGGTGCTGTGTCTGGCACAGGCGGGGACTGGGGGGGTTGCCACCTCGAGGAGGGGTTTGCCGTGGCTCAGCGTCCTCGCTCCCCAGCGGGGTGAAGACGCAGTGGGGGTGCCGTGATCTGGTGTCTAGGGGCGTTGGGGGAGGAGAGGGTTGTCCCAGAGCCTGGGCAGGGGTGCGGCTGGTCTTCTGCTCCGAGAGAGGCGGCCATGGGCTCCTGCCCGATGCTAGGGCGGGCGGTAGGGCCGAGTTCCTGGAAGCCTCAGGGCGGGCGTGGCGGGGCGAGGCTGCGGCTTCGCACGCCCTTCCTCTCCCCAGCCTCAGCCAGCTCCCCTGGGAACCAGCACCGTTGGGCGGGCCCCTGGCAGGCCCCAGGCCCCCCACTCACACCTCTGCACCTGCCACACTGGGTCCTCGGTGTGCCCACCGCCGTGTCCCTGGGCCCCCGCTCAGGCCCCGTCAGGAGGAGTCAGGGCACATGGAGAAGGTTCTAGAAGGGAGGCGGAGCTGGGTTGCTGGGGCACCTTACTTCCTCTGGGCTTTGGAGAGAGCCACACTCAGCGGCTGGTGAGCCAGGCCTGTGGGCAGAGGGCCCGTCTCCCCCGGCCCCACCTCCGCCACACCTCCTGCCGGGACGATGGTACCTGGGCTGGGCAGGTCTGCCCGGAGAGGGCCCCTCCGCCGCCGCGTCCCAGCCCCGAGGCCTCGCCGTGTCTGGGGGTGACACGACAACGCAGGCAGGGTGGGGACCGGCGCCGCCCGGCCGCCTGCGCCCAGCTCTCCGGGCCGGACAGCGAGTGATGGGCCCCTGCGCCCCTCCCGCCGCAGGACGGGGACAAGTTCTGGCGGATGCCCGAGTGCTACATCCGCGGCAGCACCATCAAGTACCTGCGCATCCCCGACGAGATCATCGACATGGTCAAGGAGGAGGTGGTGGCCAAGGGGCGCGGCCGCGGCGGCCTGCAGCACCAGAAGCAGCAGAAAGGCCGCGGCATGGGCGGCGCCGGGCGAGGTAGGCCCCGCTCCCCCGTCCCTGCTCCCCGGCCTGGGCTGAGCCCCCACACCCCCTCGCCTGGGTGTCCTCCCTGCAGAGAGGGTCAGGCGATGCCCCCGCCCAGGGACCCCTTTGTGCCAGGCAGGGTCACGCTTTGTTTTCACAGAAGTTTGTTCCCCCCTCCCCCCCCACCAGAAATGATAAATCCGGCGTGAAATTCAATTAGTTACGCCCCGGGGCCATCTGCAGCCCGCACCTCCCCTCCCGCCCCAGCTCTGTCCTCAGAAGGACCCGGCTTTGTTCCTCCCAGCTGTGGGCAGCGCCCGGCCTGCCCTCGGGTGGCGCACCTGGCTGGGACCGGGTGCTCGGGGGGCCACAGGAGCCGGCCCTGAGCGGAGGGACTGGGGTGCCACCCCAGGCAAGGAGCTTTTGGGGTCTAGGGGTGAGCAGGGTGTCTGGGCTCCCAGGCCCGTCCCGGGCCCTCATCGCTGTCCCGAGCCGGCCTGAGGGTCTGGCCCTGGGCGCCCCCGCGGTGGGGAGAGCAGGCCGGCCCCACCCCGCGCAGAGAGCAGGGCAACAGTGGTCTTCTCACTGCTCTGCAGCGAGCCCCCAGGGCCGCGGCAGCAGCCAAAGCCTCTTGGGAGCCCCGGGTGCAGCCCCCAAGGCAGAGCTGGCCCCGGAGGGGACTGAGGTCAGGCCGCCCGGCTGGCGTTGGCCTCTATCCCCACGGGTCTGGCGGCCCCGGGTGACAAGAACCCCGACCCCACCTTCACGGGGTTGGGGTGTCCAGAGGAGACGGTGACTCCAGCCCCCGTGGGCGCCAGTCCCTCTCCCCGGGCCGCAGGTCCCCGAGGAAGGACCCGGGCTCCTCTCCCCACGGCCGGCCTCGCCTTTCCTAGTACTGGAGGCCCAGCTGTAAGGTCTGCCTGGGCGCAGGGTCCCAGAGACCGCCTCCTGCATGTGGCCTCCAGCGCTGGGGGCCGAGATGCAGCGCACGCCCCTCCCCAGGGACAGGGAGAGGTCTGGTGGGGGTGGCATGAGGGGTGCCCGGCACACAGGGTGTGGGAGACGAACCCTGTGCCACTACCTTTGCCTGGCGAGTGTAGCCTGGGCACAGCCGAGTCAGGAGTCCCTGTGCAGGACCTCCCTGGGTGGGGAGCGACAGACCCCCACGGCCCCTCCCCGTCTAAAATGTCATTAGAGATCTTGGTCCTCTTGTCTTGGTGGCCTCGGGCCATCCCCGGGGCTGGACACACAGACACCCACAGGCAGTGCTGAGCATGGGGGGCCGGGTCCGCAGCCCGCCCTAGCCCCCAGCCTCGATGGCTGCCCTGGTCTCTGCCCCCACCTGTCCCATCCCCGTTCCACCTCCGCAGTCCTGGAAGCTCTTTGTCCTTTCTGAATCCTGCCCCAAGTCCCCAGGTAGTTCAGTGTCGGCCTCTGTTGTCCCCAACCCTGTCCCCTGGATTAGCCCCTTGTAGTGACGGGACCCGCAGGACGTGCCTGCCAGGTCGGGCGCCCCCCCTGGGTGGAGGAGGCTGAGGGGAGCCGGCCCAGCGACCCAGGGTGCCAGGGTGCGGTCCCAGGCCACCTAGCTCTGCAGCAGCCCGTCTCTCTGTGTCCCGCAGGCGTGTTTGGCGGCCGGGGCCGAGGCGGGATCCCTGGCACAGGCAGGGGCCAGCCGGAGAAGAAGCCGGGCAGACAGGCGGGCAAGCAGTGAGCCCCGCTGGGGACGGCCACCACATCGCCCCGCCCCGCCGGCGCGTTCCCCTGATCCAGAGCGCAGGCCTGTCGGGAAAGAAGCGGAGAGGCAGGTGTTGGGGGACGACCCCCGCCCCTGCATCATTTTTGCCCCTGCTCTTTAGGCGAAGTCCCTTTTTTGTTTTCGGAGCCAGTGGCTCTGCAGCTGGCTCGTTGTCCCTCAGCGTTTCGGGCCCGCGCAGCCCCGTGCCCGCGCCAGCTGGCCTGGAAGAGTCTGTTCCAGGCGCCTGTGAAGCCCCGTCTCGCCGTGGAGGACGGACAGAGCTTTTTCTTTCAAGCGCTCGGCGCGGGGAGACTGACAACGGCCTTGGGGCTCCCTTGAGCGCGGCCCAAGGTTCCGCCTTTTCAAAACAAACCCGGGCCGAGCGGTGCAGGGGGCCGTGCTGGCCCTGCCCCTTCCACCCCACTCTCTGTGTTACAAAAATAAAGACGAGTGCAGGTGTGCGGGCTGTCCGCCTTCCTCTGGAGCCACAGGGCGCACCTAGAGGGTCTCCTGTCCCCTGTCCCTGGGCTCTGGCAGGACCGGTGGCTCCGGAAATCACAGGCCCCATGCGGGATGCTCCCAAGGCCATCTCGCTCTAACCAAGGCTTAGTGATTCCACGAGGCACCGACGTCCTCTTACTCTGCACAGTGGGCGGGCTGTTGGGCGCCCTGGCGTCCCCGGGCACGTTCCCTGGGACCCCGCCCCTCCGTGGAGAGGGTAGCACCTTGGGGAGGTGGGGGAGGGCAGCGAGTGCCGGGCAGAAGCCTGCGGGGCCACCTTGGAGGAGCACCGGAGGTCATCGGCACGAGGCTCTGCCCCGCTTTCCAGCCGAGGCCCCGCGCGTCACACACCTCGGGTAGCCCGCCCGAGACGCTGAGCCAGCACTGTTGGGAAAACGCTCTCGGTAGCGTCGTCTGCGGAGGGTTTTTCCTTCCGTAAGCAAAGGGAAGGAACCGCAGGGAAGGCCGGGGACAGGCGCCGGCTCGTCCCCCGCGCACGAGTCGTCTACACGGCCACAGTGTGGAAAGCCGTTTGGAGGGGTGCTCGGCCCGGAGGCCTGGCTGCGTGCGGAGCCCGCTTCGTGGGCTCTCAGAGTTCCGCCCGCGTTGCCTGGCGCCGGGGCGCTGCCCTGGTCCGTCGTGGGACCTGCTGCTGCCCGACGACCTCCGGCACAGCAGCACTTGGCTGACGGGGCGGGGCCCCGCGCGCACCTCCCTCAACACACGTGGACGGCGGTCGTGCCCAGGCCTATGGCCTCCACCTGCCCGCCGGCCCCGCGCCCGCGCGGCCTGCTGGGGGCGGGGCCACCCGGGCTGGGCGGGCGGGCGGGAGCCCCGGCAGGGGCGGGCGAAGGCGGGCCGTGTTCGCACCCCCAGCCCGCGACTCAGTGGCCCAGAGGTCTCGGCTCTGCTGGGGGAGCGGCCCTTCCTGCCGGGGGTCATCTCCGTCACGCGCGGCTCTGGTGACATCTGGGAGCTGTGGGGCCGGCGTCCTGGAAAACCCTCTGCTGGCGCCAGTTCGCCCTCACCAAGCTCCAAACGGAGAACGCGCTCAGGCCCCCCCAGCGCCTCCTCGCGCTTCAGGGTCTTGGGCTGCTTTTGCGGGTCACAAGGGCTCGTACGTAAGTGGCCCGGCTTTCGGCGCGGGGGCCGATCCCAGGCGCCCCAGCCTGCGCAATCGCGGCCGCCCGCCTGCAGCGCCCGACGCGGGCGCAGCTCTGACCTTTCCAGCCCGCCAGCGGGCTCCCGGCCAGGCCCCTCCTCGGCGTGACGCGAGCCGCACGCAGGGCCCCCTCGCCTGCCTCGGCCGCGCTTGCGGCCAGCGAGCTTCCAGAAGCTTCCTTGGCCTCCTGAGCCCAAGGTGGGGCCGGCCCCGGGTTTCGTTCTTCCTGGTTGGTTTTGAGAAGCCGCGTCCCTCGGCCCCCTCAACAAGAAGAGAAACCAATCGCCCTTGGCCTAGTTCCTAAACCTGGGGCTTCCAGATCTTTCTGGCTCTCCGATGAGGTCCGCACCCTCGTCACCTGACCGGGCGGCCTGCGCCGTAGGTGGTTCCCACCGCCCCCGACCTCGCGCCTGGAGCTCGCCCTCTGTGGGAGGCCCAGGCCCGCGCGCCCGGCTGCGTGACTCAGCTTGCGTGCAACGGCCCGTGCGTCGTCCTCGCGGCCCGAGCCCGGTTCGGGGACAAATGCGCAGGCCGGCGTCAGGCAGGGGCCCCGGAGGGGAAGTGTCTCCCGGACGCCCTTGCACACACCTCGGCGGCACCGGCACCGATTCCTCCTCCGGGCCGCACCCGCTGCTCCCAGAGCCACTCCGACAGCCCCTGGAGGTGGCCTGGGTGCCTGCCGCCGCCGGCCTCCCCACCCCGGCCCCCAGCACAAGCCTGGCACTGGGCCCGCCTCCCTGTCCCAGGCCGCCCTTCCCTTCCACAGGGCTGAGCCGGCCACACGCAAGCCAGATGCATAGGCGCCGCAGGAAAGGAGAAGGCGAAGCCCGCGTGCGAGGAGGTGGGCAGAGAAGGCGAGAGGGCGACGCTGGACAGTGGAGAAGCGCTGGAGGGAGGCAGCCATCCGGGGGAGGAGCGTTTCCCGTGGGGGAGTGGCATGTGCAAAGGCCCTGTGCCCGGTGGACTCCGGCAAAGTGAGAGGGGGAGGAAATGGGGAGGAGGGTGCAGGCCTCGGGTGACATGCTGGGGGCTCAGCCCAGGTGGCAGTTGCGCAGGAAGCCCAGGACAGGGCGCTGGGGTGGGACCTCCCTCCCACAGACAGGCCTCTCCCACAGGTAAGGCAAGAAGCCTCTGGGCGCAGGGAGAACAGGGGACAGGTGGAGGGGACCGCAGCCACAAAGCCCCGAGCTGCGGCCTGCTCCGTGGGCCCCTCGCAGGCGCCCAAGGAGGCGGGCGCGGGTGGGCCCCCCATGCGCCTACCCAGCCCCGCGGGTTTCCGAAGCCACTTCCGACTTGGCACCTCTGAGGGTCAGCCGCCCTTGTGACAGCCCACCACTGTCCGGCTGTCAGCGAGCAAGCCTCAGGCCCCTGCGGAGCCCACCCACAGGGAGGCGTGCTCGGTCACCGCACAGGCACAGAGAGGGTGAGACACCTGCCCCAGGGCACACAGCAACAGACTTGGCCCTCTGCTCCTTCCAGTGCCTGCTTGAATTGGAAGGGGCCGCTGGCTCCCTCCCGGCTCAGGTGTGTCCGGCCCAAAACCACGGGCCGGGACCTGGTCGGGACGGAGGCAGGTGAGGCCGGCTCCTGGTTTAAAACTCAGGGCCCTGATTGTAGCTGCGGGACGGGATTCAAGGCACCTGGGGAAGGTGTCCAGTGAGTTTGACCCAGCTGCACCCCAGTGTCCTTGCCAGTCAGTGGGGACAACATCGGCTCCATCTCATGGGGCTTTGGGGAGGGTTACATGAAAGGAATCTCAGAGGCCGGGCGCGGAGGCTCGGGCCTGTAATCCTGGCACTCTGGGAGGCCGAGGCAGGAGGATCACTTGAGCTCAGGAGTTCAAGACCAGCCTGAGCAAGAGCGAGACCCCGTCTCTACTATAATAGAAAGAAATTGGCCAACTAAAAATATATAGAAAAACTTAGCCGGGCATGGTGGTGCATGCCTGTAGTCCCAGCTACCCGGGAGGCTAGGCAGGAGGATCGCTTGAGCCCAGGAGTGTGTAGGTTGCTGTGAGCGAGGTGACGCCACGGCACTCACTCTAGCCCGGGCAACAGAGCGAGACTCTGTCTCAAAAAACAAAAAAAGGAATCTTAGGGCCGATCAATGTGGTGTATACAGCAAGTGCTCGATAAATGCCTGCAGTCAGGTAAGAGGAGTGCCTCACTGTGTGCCTGCAGAGTTCTCAGAACCTCACCACGATCCCTCTTCAGCCTCAGTCTTCTGTGCCCAGGAGGCCGGCACTGGAGGCCTGGTCCCCGGCCAGTGAGCATTCACCTCGCAGGCCCGCACCCCTGCCCTGCACACCCCTCCCGGCCGGCCGGCCGGCCTCCGTGGCCACCCGGCAGTGACTCAGCCCTGCCCCGCCTCCGCTGGAACCCGGCACCAAAATAGTCACCCGGCTCGCTCTCGGAGTGGGCCGTCGCAAATACTCCCGCTGTCCTCACGGTCTCCATCCCTGACCTCCCTTCTTCCAGACCACGGCTCCCGAGCCTCTGTGGGGGGCCGCTCTGATTTGGTCGGTGACAGGGGCTCACGGCCTCCGGAGATGCCTGCACTGTTCTGTCCCTGCTTCTTTTTGTTAATGTCTCATGTGCGTCTTTGCTCGCTCACAGCACCTCACACTCCCTTGGTCATAAGCGAGCGCTGCCTCAGCTCGGAGTAAGGTAGTTTCGCGCCACCACCAGTTCTCGTCTTGCTCAGGCTGGTCCCAACTCCGACCTGGAGCGTTCTTTCGCCCTCACCAGAGTGCTGGTTGCGTGAGCCGCCGCGCCCGGCCTACAGCAGTGTTTTTCTTAAAAAATTTATTTTTTAAGGTTTCTTGTGTCTGTGTTCCCGCGCCGTTCTTTTTTTTGGTCCCAGGCTTGTTTTTTTTGGAGACACGTGGCCTCCTGGTCATGTGCCACCAGGCCCGTGGCCCACCACCTCGCGTTGCCACCACCGAGCGCCGGCCTTGCTGGTGGCCTGGGGAGGGGGGGAAGAGCCCGGGAACGGCCGCAGTTCAGGGCAGGATCCAGCGTCTCAGTCACCTGAGGGCTCCGGCCGGAGGGCACGCGGGTGCGAGGCCGGCAGGTGCGCGCCGGATGCTGAACCGCAGATCCCAGAGGCCCCGGCCCCCGGGAGATGATCAACCCAGACAAGGTCAGAGGGCGGGACTCTGCGACTCTGGCACACTTAGGGGCGGTTTCCTTTGTTGTTTTTAAATTTGTTTTTCCTAACTAAAATCCCTACTGTATTCAGAGCTCCTTAGTTTCTTTAAAAAACAGTTTTTGACAGTAGAGGTATTCGTGTGTGTTTAAATCTATTAATTTTATTTATTATTTTTTAGAGACAAGGTGCTGTGATTGTCACCCAAGCGCCACTTCCTGGGCTCAGCGACCGAGCGATACTAACAGGTGCAGCGGAGCTGCGGTCCTTAGTTTACCTATGTCCGTTTGAATTGAGTAGATCCATT